GACTGAAACCGGAGTCCAGGTGATGACAGAAACTCCTCTAACTCATCCACAGCGAGCAGGAAATGCCAAACAGCTGTTAATAACCACAACTTAGCAGAGCCGCTTTCATCTTACTGTCTAAACATTTACTTGCTCTGACTCATGCATGTAAACTTTCCCAAATCTGGCTGTAGGAGCAACTCGGTCCTCCATGCAGTAAAACATTATCGTCATTACTTGTTTGTTTCATCATGAGTTTACTCCTCCCCCTCAAATTTAAGAGTCCATCCAGTGCAAGTCATGCTAATGGCCTCAGCTCGGTCTCACAGCTGCAGACAGGAAACGCTCACAGTTTCCACAGATAAGACTGATTGGCATGTTTCCTGTACTTTCTAAGGCAAATTCATATTTGCTGCATTTTGGCTTGTTGTGTATCTTATTCTTATCACCATCTTGTTAGCCCAAAAATAATTCCTTAACAGCTATTTTTAATGTATGAGTCCGTTTATAATTGCGACAGCTTGGGAAAATTAAGTTTATATAGGCATTTTCACATCACTTCATTAAAGGTCAGAATCAGAAATAAAACAATTATCAATTAAATTAATTAATACAAAAAGTTTTAATTAGAAGGTAATTTTTCACAGAACAAAATTAGTTTTGCACTTTTTAAACTTTCTTTTGCTCATACATGAACTACAATGAATAAAAAAAACATTACAAGAAAGGAAAGGAAACAAAGTTAGTTGAGCTCTGTTTAACAACAACATTAGAAACTTGTTAAGTATGTACACATGCTGGTGTTATGCTCGTCAGGTTATCTAACAGATGGTCACAGTCCAGCTCGCTGTCGACTGACACAGTTCTTGTCCTTGTTTCTGGTCCTCGCACAAAGGCAGAATTCATGCTGGAGAGGAACAAATGTTCTCGCTAAATGTACAGTAAAAAAAATCCAGTTTTTCAGTAAAATGGTGTATGAACCTAAAAGTGTTTGAATAAATAGACACCATCCGAGGAGGAATACGAGATGTTTTGTCTAATTCTGCTTGCATGTTACTTTTATGCACACGCTGTCCTTTCAGTTTGTTGCCTTCCTTTAGCAGATGTGTGGCAATGCTGGTCTAGCAGAATATTGGTCATATCTTCTTCGGACATTTATTTTTTGCGCCTGGGTTTGACTTTTTCTTCTTAAGTGCACCGATTTGTTTTGTTTTCACTCGTTGTACTTTTTCTACATAAAAAAAAGCCCACTTGGGAATCATAGCAGCTTGAAATACAAATCTATGCTAAATGTTATCTGTCTGCAAGTCCTGGAACCAATTTGTGTAT